ATTCAACATTGGTACTATTGAGAAGTTTTGTTTTGCGACAGAGTCTCACTATGCCGCCCTTGGTAGAGTGCTGTGGTGTCAGAGCTCACAGCAACCTCAAACTTTTGGGCTTAAGTTATTCTCTTGCCTCAGCCTCCCAAGTAGCTAGGACTATAGGCACCCGCCACAATGCCCAGCTATTTTTTGGTTGCAGTTGTTTAATTGGCTCAGGCTGGATTCAAACCTGCCACCCTTGGTATATGTGGCTGGCACCATAACCACTGTGCTATAGGCGCTAAACCTGAGAAGCTTTAAAGTAGGGGGTTATAAGGTAGAATTCACAGTCACTCATCCATCCAACCATGCATCCATCCGTGCCTATGTACACACACACATACATGCAACCACCACATCTATGCAGTTAGACATGCATTCTTTCGACAATCATTAATGGAACACCTATCGTGTGGCAAGCTCTGGACTGGACATGGGGACACCATGCACCATGCAGAGGTGTCTGTCCTGTGAAGCTCGTGCTCTAATGGGGGAAAAGGTAGGTAAATAGCATCACAAGAGGTAAGGGTTCTGATAAGGTAAGCGTTCTCTAAGCCCCCTCTTCTCCAGATGCGACAGCATTCTGGACACTGCAGTCACACTAAATCCCTTCATTCCTCTCTACTACTAATCCAGGGCTTATGCTCACTTACCTCCCAACTTTAAAAATCTTATGGCATTCAATCAAATTCAAAACACAGGGAATAGTCAAAAGGCTCTACACCCTTCCTGAGTTCTTTAGTCCTGATGACACTGGGTATGGTAGCTGTTACCATTGCTTAGCAAGTGCTGTGCACTTCCTCTGAGACAGAGTTCCCTTTCCCTTCCTCTTGCTCTATCTCTGGCCTGGTCAGAACCACTATAGCAGCGGTTCTCAACCTGTGGGTCACAACCCCTTTGTAACAATGAAAATACAATGCAGCATCAGGAAGGTTGAGAACCACTGCACTAGAGGCTTCTGCTGGGGTGGCTGTGATAACCTCCTCACCTGTTTGCCTGCTTCTAGCCTTGCCCTCCAACAATCCCTCTATTCTTCATCCAGCAGCCAGAGGGAGCTTTCAAAAATGTATTTTATTTTATTTTATTTTGAGACAGAGTCTCAAGCTGTTGCCCTGGGTAGAGTGCCATGGCGTCATAGCTCACAGGAACCTCAAACTCTTGGGTTTAAGCGATTCTCTTGCCTCAGCCTGCCAAGTAGCTGGGAGTACAGGTGCCCACCACAACACCCAGCTATTTTTTAGTTGTAATTGTTGTTGTTTGGCAGGCTGGTCTGGATTCGAACCTGCCAGCTCTGGTGTATGTGTCTGGCACCCTGGCCCTGAGCTACAGGCACTGAGCCTCAAAAATGTATTTTAGATCTTGTCACTCCTCTGCTCATATCCTGTGGTGTTCCTATAGGCATAGAATAAACTAAGCTCCTCCCAGGTCCATAAGGGCCCACGTGAGCCTTTCTGCCCTGGCTCCTCACTCATTCCAGTCACATGGTGTCCCCCAGACATGTTGCTCGTGCCTCTTCCCCCTGAGCTTCCTGTGCCTGGGTCCCCCTTAGTATTCACACTTTGGCTAAGGTGACACCCATAGAGCCCTTCCTTAAACACCCCATCTGGATCATGACTCCCAACCGAATCATCTCTTCTCACATTTCCCCAGGTTTCCTTCTCCAGATCACTTGTCAGAAATTATCTCATCTGATATTGGGTTCCTTATAGCTCTGGTCAAGGTGCTGGGAGGACAGGTCATGCTTAGGGATTTGAGGGGCCTGGAATCCCTGCTTGGCACTTGCTCAGATCCCCGTGTCCTGCTATCCTTGAGTCTTTTATAGGCACAGGCTCTTGAAGTCCTCCCAACATTCTGGGAAGGTTGGTTGGCATTTTT